AAGTATTTCGGTGCAGCTGTACCGGCGGCTAACATAAACATCATCATATCATCAAATAAGATACTAAAAGCAAAGTATTTATAAATGACTATAAACTTTTAATAAAAGTGGTGCTTTACTGCTTAAATCTTACCTACAATGGGTAAGAATTTATTTGATGTAATTGTGGTTGAAAAGAAATCTCTACTCTTTCCGTGAATAAGCTCAATGAATGATGTATGGCGAATCACTTGATAAAAGCTTGCACTTCTTAGATGAGGAATTTTCGCTGAACATCATGTTTAAGTTTAATTGTTGAAGATCCTCCTTAAATACCAAACGATATCCACAATTTTTCACCTCCAAATGCAAACCTTTAGGATGTTCAAACGTGCCAGTTGTGAATCCCATTTTGTCTTCATATACATTTCGATAAAGACTGATTATTTCCCGAGGGAAAAAAACCATGAACAAGTGATCTATTTCATCCGTGACCAGATCATTGTTTAAAAATATTGGAAGCATCCGATATGAATTATGCAAAACTTGCATATTTTTAAAATTGTATCCAATACTTCCAAAATTATTATTCAAATTAGTAGGATCATCATGTGCCACAAACAAAGAACAACAGGCGACACCCATCCAATTTGGGTCTTCCTTAACAGGAGACAGGTCCATGCTTATTGACCTACCCACATTTTGTTCACTGAACCACCTTGGAATTTGAGTTCCAGGAATAACAATCTTAAGCTGGTCCAAGGAAAGGGAGGATTGCAAGAAAGCCTGAACAAAATTTTTTTTTATTAATATGTATAACTACTTAAAAATTGTACACATAGAAAAAGTAAGATAAAGAAAGGTAGGTTGGAGTCGTTACCTTAAATATTTGTATCATCCAAGAAAAAACCATATGATAACAATGTTCCATTTCACTCAAATTGGGGCAATTAAAAATATATAAATCCCCATAATATGCGCCAGATTTATTTTTTTTGGTTGTTGGAAGCTCAGGCAAATATTTCAGCTGCTTGCAGTGCTGCAAATTTAAATGATGAAGATTGGAAAGCTCCTTGATGGTAGTAGGTAGTCTCACGAATTTGTTCCCCCCCAATTTTAAGGTTTTTAAAGACAGTAAGCTCCCAATAGCATATACAGAAGAGGATGTTGATAATTGGATAACACTTGTATTTTTATCAACGTTCTCCAAATGTTCTGCCTCCTTTGGTTTCTTTATCAGACGCTTATTGAGTAATTTTGAGCAGCCTGAGAGATTTAGCATCTCAAGAGATTTGAGTCCAAAAATGATATTCAAATTGTGGAAAAGATTTTTACAATCTTCCAAAACTAGATAAGCAAGTTCTCTTAAAATACCGATGGATGGGTGGATTCGCGTAATATTTATGCATTTTATAAGAAAAAGACTCCTAAGACGAGGAACTCCCGTTAAGTCTGGCATCTCAATAAGATTTTTGGAGTAGCTAAGATCTAGATGTATCAAATTAGGCAGATGCTGTAAAAGAAACAAAAGAAAGAAAGTTATAATCCATCATTTAAATTTTCATTTCTTTGGCAAACAGAAAGAAAAAACGATAATCCCTTTCTTGTTTTGGATAGCAGGAGAAAAAATCAATGACATTTAAGTTTTCTTATGATTCTTTAATTATGTTAATATATATAACTTATCTTTTTCTGTTTATTTAAATATAAATAAAATTGAAAACCAATAATATAGTACCTTTGTGCCTTTCCATAATTGTTTGAGATTGCTATGATGCAAGATCAATTCTATTAGATTATCCGGATGAAAATTTGATGGCAAACAAGTTGAAGGATATCTTTCCCAAGATAGATATCTTAATTCATTAGAAAGATAGTTTAGACTTCCCTTAGAATTAACATCGTCAAGTATGAGCAACTTGAGATGCTTCATTTTTGATATAGCATTCACTGGTATTGTTGTTTCCAAATGCACTTCATGAAATTGGTCAATAATTATGGCTTCAAGATCTTCGGCTTCCTAAAGAATTGCAAAAAAGGAATGAATAATGTTAGATTGCTTAATAATTTATATATTTTGAAAAAATGGTAGCATAAGATTTTACATTGAAAATCTATTTTACCTCATTTTTTATCATGACGTTTTGGAAATCCTTGATGTCCCATAACCTGCTCCACTTTCTTGGTTCATTGGGTGATTTTTCCCGAACAATACTTCTCCCCAACTCTTTCAACAAGTCGTGCATTTTAATCTCCTCATCATTATCACAAGTTATGAGTGATTTCTCAATGAGAACTTTCATGTCAATATCAGGAAAAAATCCACGATACCATAGAAGTTGTTTTACTATTACGAAACCTCGACAATCTATTACCAAAGAAACAAGCAATATCTAAAAATATTTCTTTTTCTATTTCTTTCAATCCATCAAAACTTAT